AAATAGGTTAAATGAAATGTAGCTGCCATAATATTGAAACCCTGCCCTAAAAACAGAGCGTCCTCGGCAGGTACATACCCTCTAGGTGCTTGACGATGCCCCTCAGGCTGTTGCCATGGGCAGCGATCAGGACCCTCTTGCCCTCCTTGATCTGCGGGACTATCTCCTCGTTCCAGAAGGGGAGAGCTCGGGCGATGGTGTCCTTCAGGCTCTCGCAAGAGGGCAGCTGGTCCTCCGTCAGGTCGGCATAGCGACGGTCCTGCCGGAAGCAGGGAAACACAAGGTTTCTCTGGGTGCTTGTTTAACGGTACACTGAAGGAGCGATTTACAGCAGGCCCAGGGCTGGACTGAAGAGTCAAGGTTAGAAAAGAAGGTAAACATCAGTACGCACGTTCGTTGCTCATAAAGCAGAGGACAGGTCTAGTGATGGTATTTTGTGCTTCAGAAGGGCTAGTTTCCAGAAGATAGAGTAGACAATGAATTAGAACTCCGGCCGTCGCTGACAGAAACTGCCAAGAAACATTCTGGCTGTGATGCTGAAACTCAAACTTCATTACAATACCGAGCACCGTTTAAGGACTATAAATAGACAGCCTGAAAATAAGAAGAATTCAGATTCAGTGCTCAAACAGAGCACCTGTAATAATAAATCAGAGAAAACCGGCAACCTTAGTCTGCCTCTGCTACAGCTAAACTGACTCTGGTGTGTTGTCATGTTTGAAAACAAATGTATCAGCTTCAGTTCAGTTATAAGTCCTTAAGACTCAGTGAATTTTTTTTTCTTTCACTTCAGTTGTTAAAAAGAAATATTTCACAGCAAGTTAAACTGTTCTGGTAAAAAATAATTTAAAAGCTAATAATAATGTCAAACAGTTCCAGTCTCGTGCTATGACATACAACATTTTGAGCGCAGTGACACCGTATGCCAACACTCCAGCTCCACATTTCCACAAGCCTGAGCCCCCCGCCCCCATCACCACTGCCTGTTGTCTTTGTGACGTCTGGCTGAACTTTGATACTTGACCACTGCAGTACACTAACCCTCCAGCAGCACAAAAGTCAAACCAGGCAGTAAATTGGTGCCAACATGAACACTAAGCAAAGAAAATCTGCCAAAACGCAGGAGAAGAAAAGGGCTGAATTAATAAATTAATCAATGAACAAGCTTCATGGTCAAATACATAATGCATGCCCACAAGGAACAAAGATTTGCAGATTTATCATACAAATATATCTGAGGTCCCTGACAAGTATCTGCTTGACAAATTCTGTCATCTTTATGTCAAGTCATGCCCTTTGCTCACAGAATCTGGGAAACTGCCCCCCCCCCGCCCGCCTTTCTAGATCTGTAGAGCTCAAATGCTCGGGGATTTAGTAAAAACAACATTATGTCCCATTTTATTCCTCGGTCTAAGAGGCCACAATGCAATCCTCACACAGTTCAATTAAACCATCTCATCCTCCATCTGGCTCCCGGCCACCCATCCCATAATAATCCCTGATCCGCAGTGCAGCAGCAAGTG